CGATTCTCGGATTAGAGAGGTCTAGAACCTGAAGAAGCTCTCTCCTCGTCAGAACACCTCATCAATGATGCTACCGGCCGGAGCGAACATGTCAGGTCTCGAGGTATTCAATCGTTCACTTCGTCGCGTTCAGTTTTAGAAAAGTGTTCCAGAATTGGCCGAATCTTGCTTCGCACTACAGTTTTATAGAGTTATTTTCGCTTTGTTTCTTTTGCTGTCTGAATGTGTACAGTGTGAGTGCTAAACCGATTCTCGGATTAGAGAGGCCTAGAACCTTAAGAAGCTCTCTCCTCGTCAGAACACCTCATCAATGATGCTACCGGCCGGAGCGCACATGTCAGGTCTCGAGGTATTCAATCGTTCACTTCGTCGCGTTCAGTTTTAGAAAAGTGTTCCAGAATTGGCCGAATCTTGCTTCGCACTACAGTTTTATAGAGTTATTTTCGCTTTGTTTCTTTTGCTGTCTGAATGTGTACAGTGTGAGTCCTAAAGCTATATCTATATTCTTACGTCGTTCGGTGATTGTTTTCACTTAAATCACATCATCGAAATAGCCCGATGTTTCTTAAAGTGATAGAACTCCAGAATAATGCAAGACCGTGCTATTTTTATCTTCGTTATTTTATATGACTTTAATCTTAGAGACGATAAAATGACGAAAATACCTGATGCGAGCATATTCAAGAGGCTTTAGGTATTTGGTGTTTCTTTCAATGAAATCTCTTCGTTACATGACTTTCTCCAATTCACTGAAGGAATTTTATGTATCTATGAATGAAGTTGCTGAAATGGAAGAGCTAGATCATTTTCAACAGTTGAGGATTCTTGAGCTTGGTTCCAATAGACCGCAGGTTTGCTCTCTATATCTTTTGTTTTAATTAATCTCAGTTGTATCAATCAGTCTACAATATGGATTTTATGTATAGTTTCTAGAAAGAGCCGTCTCTACAAATAGTGTTCGTAGATATATAATGAAGTGAATATATGAGCCTCCATGCTTTACTATATTTCATACAGTATTCTTTATGTGCAATTAAACGGCAAGGAAAATGGCCAAACAAAAAGGCTTAAACGTTCTCTCCCGAAGAAGTAATTACATAAGAGTTCTGTTTGTTTCTCACAGCAGTCATGTCTTTTCACAAAATTTTGGATAATCGTAGTGTGATTGAAGATCCAACACTGCTTTTTAGGCAATGGAAAATATACAAAACTTGACCAATTTACAAGAGCTGTGGTAAGGACGTAACTGGAAAAAGGCAGTAAACCTTTGTGGATTAAATTGTCTCGAGAAAATTACTTTGCAGAGCAACCGTAAGACTTCAGTGGTAGGATTTGAAGCATGATATTTGATTTGAATGTGGCAAATATTTGTTATGCCTTAACTCTGTTCCTTGACCTAACTTTTCAGTGGTGTGTTGCTTCGGAAGGACACTATCTTGGTCATTTCAGAACTTGAAGGCATTTCAACCTTGGTCCATCTTCCTATATTGAATGTTTCATTAAATAAGCCAATGAATGCGAATGACATTCAAAATCGGACATGGTTTCATGAATTTCGTATCTCCCATCATATGTAACATGGTTGTGGTTTCCAGGGTGATAATCTGGTTACTTCGTTGGATTGGCGTTTGTAGTCTAGAAGATTTAGGCTTAAAGACAGACGAATAGAACCACTTGAAAGCATTGCTGAGGATGTTGCTGGTTCAAGAGAGGAACCGACAACCATCTACCCCAAGAACAGTAAGTTTCCATACTGAATAATTTTTTTATTTTTTTTGATAAGACATACCGAATAACTTTTATGACTAGAAAATTTGCTTCTGATCTCTTGGTGCTTCACTAGTGCAAGTGTCTGGATTTCTTCATGCTCCATATATCTCAGCTATAAATTATGGGGAAAAGTATAGGTCTCAGTTTATAACTTTTTTTAAATTTATAGTTTTTCGTTTTTAAAGAATAAAACTCTTTACTAATAATTTATTTGTTTTACCTTCATCTTTTCAAAGCCGTTTTCTTTGAAATCCTAGAAACCTTTCCAAACAAATCGTTCTCAAAAGTTAAAATTTGAAGAACAGTTTGTGCGTTATTGTTGCTTTAAATCTTGATTGCACATTTTAACTCTGCATATTATTCAGGATAAAAAGATAACAATAATAGAAATAAATAATGTATGACTTTCAGGCTGCAATTTTGAAGTAAAATAATTCTTCTCTCGTGGATTAAGTGACCTGAACAAGTTTTCCCCTTATTGATCAACCTAGCCTAGCTTTTCTGTGCTTTCTGATTGTTTGATTTGGCAGCAGCTTCTCGTCTACAGCCATAATGTACTAGTAACATGCCCACTGTCCATTCTTTTACTGATTTAGTTGATTTTATTCTTGCAATGAATGTTTTAAAACCTTCTGTTGGTTGTGTTAGCTAAAATGTCTTACTCAAACTAAAAAAATATTTAGGTAATTATTTATTGAAACCAATTACATTTGTTAAGGTTATTTCGTGGAATTTAGTTGCTGTGTGTTTTGCCTCTAATTTATGTCGTTTTTTTTTTTTTTACTATTTTGCTCCAAATATTTATAAAGTTCAATTTTTCTCCTCAAATGTGTTTTATTATTTTATTTTATTTTTGTTTAAATTTTAACTGAAACTGCATTCATTTAAATACCATATAAATGGAGTATTTGAATTATTTAATTCTTATGCATGGTTGTTTTTTCTGAGTGGGGCAGCAGAAAATGTCATTTTTGTCCCTGGCAAAACCAAGGGCATAGACGTTAAAGTGCTACAAATGCAACCTATCTTTGCGTCTTGATCAGGTGAGTGTCCGTACGTATCGCTCGTAAATAAACTTTTATTTCCTAAATTATTATAAGTTGAAATTATATTTGATCGGTTTAAATCAACCTTATGAATTTCTTTTCTAGTTCATGGTTTTTCAATATATATCATTCTAATTTCTTTGAAAAATTATTCAATAAATATCTGCCCTAAGCATGCCTTTATTTAATTACGTGATTGATGTGTCAATTAGTTGTGCTTGTATCTAAGTAGATTGATATTGAAATTTTTTTTGTTAAATGTTTCTTAGAATGAAACTTTTTTGGACTAAAATATTTAATTGTCATAAAAATAATTTTTCTCTGAAAAGTTCAAGAACAAATGTGTATCAATGACATACCTCCGTTTTTGTTTTGTTTTTGTTTTTTTTTTTTTTTTTTTTTGGTTNTTTTTTTTTTTTTTTTTTTTTTTTTTTTTTTTTTTTTTGGTTATTTATTTTCTAGATTCGAAAAACTAGGTTCTTTGATAAACCCTTCAATTTTTTGAAGTTCAATATTGTAAGTTAATCAACTGTCTCTCCAAACAAGACCCAAATTTGCAAAATCTCTGGAGGAGTATTTGAAGCTACATCAGGTAACATGAGTTTTAAAAACTTTATGTTTAGGATACGGATCGGAGTACTTTTTCTCTGCTAAATTCATTGACCAAGTGTTCTTAAATATCTAATCTATAAAGATTTTCCCTATGGGTTTCTTGTTTTATAATCTCTTTTTCTTTACATATGTTTTTAAAAATGAAGAACTTTTCAAATACTAGTAGCCTGATTTTTAAATGTTTTTTTCTAGAAAAATGTCTATCAAATACTTCTTATTTTTGTTTGTTTTCTAAACAGCATTTTAACATTGGAATTTTGTATCAAAAAATTAAACATAAAATTTTTCATAACAAATTTATTTTCTTCTTCACCCTTATTTTATTTCTTGTTTTTGTTTTGTTTTTTCAACAGCATTTTAGCCGCCCATTCCATTTTTGTATTAAAAAATTAAACATAAATTTTCTTGTGTGTTATAAACAAGCATATTAGCCGCCCATTTGATTTTTGTACTAAAAAATTAAACTATAAATTTTTTTCATAACAATTTTTTTTTCTTCACCCTTTCACGTTTTTGTTTTGTTTTTTAAACAGCATTTTAGCCACCCATTCGATTTTGGTATTAAAAAATTGAACATAAATTTTTTTCATAACAAATTCACCTCCATCCACTCGTCTTTTTTGTAGAAATTTTACAAAATTTGATAGAATAGGGGTATTTTAAAAGGTGCTATGAACATTTCTTTCATAAATATGATATAATTTTGGATTATGCCATTTTTAAAATATTAAAAAAAAAAAAACATACTTACTACCTTCTAAATTTTATTTCTCTAATATTTTTGGCCTTCCGTCTTTTAAAGAGAACTAAGGAATAAGAACTTTCTTATATTTTTGTTTATGATTTTCCTATTCTTTCATTTTTAATTTCCTTTTTTTATAAAAGAAAATTAATTTCTTAGCATGAAAGAATAAACAATAATGTTAATTTATTTTTAATCTTTAAAAATGACATTTCTTTTAAAGAGAATGAAGGAATAAGAACTTGCTTATATTTTTGTTTAAGATTTTTCTATTCTTTCATTTAAAGTTTCCTTTTTTGATTAAAAAAAGTAATTTCTTAGCATGAAAAGAATAAACAATAATGTTAATTTATTTTTAATCTTCTAAAAATGTCATTTTTTAAGCAAGAAAAGAGAAAAGTAAAATGCTATTTAAACTCTATTTTTAATATTCAAGAATTATGCGTGCACTAATTTTTACTCATTCTATTTATTGTTTTTTGTAGGGAAAATCGTGTTTATCATGCAATCTGTTTTTTTTTTTTTTCTTTTCTTTTCTAAAACACTTAGAGATAGAAGATGATAAGTTAGAGAATTGAATAAAAGTTATAGAAGGAGAAAACAGAGATAGAGGTCAAAAAAACTGAGAATCAAAGCTTAATACAGCCAAATGAGACAATTTCAAAAATAAACACTGATTTAAAAGAGAATTTAAAATGAAAAGTAAAAAATTTTGAAAAGAAAAATAGGAGGGTGAAGAGAGAATTTTTTTAGGGATAGACTGCAGAAAAACCGTAAAATAAAATCGAAATGATAAACAGTTTCGTTCTATATTTAAAATTTAACTTATAAACACAATGAGACAGACTTACAGAAATTAAAACCTAAAACGGAATCAGTTTTCTATTAAGAAAGCAAGATTGCATATTATATCTAAAAAAAACAAAAGGCATAAAATAAAAATCGAATTAATGGAGAAATGACAAATCAGAATACAGTGCAGAAGTTTTTCAATCACTTGAAATGGTTAAAATAAAAAAGGCTAAATCTTAATCTTGCATTTAATTTCAGAAGTACCAATTTTTAAAAAAGTTTTTAAAATAACTTTTAAACTTTTAAAAATTATATTAACAACCTTTAAAAATTTAAATGTTTTATGGCTAAAAGTTTCATCTATATAAAAATATTAAAAGGATATTTTTAAAAATATTATAAAAATTTTAACTTTGGAACTTTGGATATTTGTAAATTCTTTTGAAACTTTCAAAAGTTTGAAGTTAAATTTAAGGGAATTTTTATTAAATTAACTGTTAAAAAAAACGGAAGGAAAAGTTGTAAATGGAAAATTAACACATACATGTATATTATAGCACAAATTTTAGAGTGGATCGCCAAAAGGAAGACAGTAGTTAAACGTAAATTTGTTTAACATCTGTATTGGAATGGGTGAATGAGAGTACCTGCCGACATCTTCGCCCTCCAAAACCAATGATTCCGGAAGGATACGAAACTGTCCTAAAGATGGACGTTGTTAATTAAAAGGATCCATGCTGCTGGATAGATGATGCTGAAGAAGGCAACAATGTGGAAACAAACAAATGATGACATTCAAATCTCAATAATTTTTTTTTTTTTTAAAGCCCAATTTGCAAGTCGAATATAATCAGTTTAATTGATTGACTAGCATATCAAGAAAAAGGGCATACCAATGATTCAGGTCAGATTCATTCGATTTGAAAGCACAAATGAATGCAAATTCCAAAGAAAACATGTACATAAATTGGAAATTTCCAAATAATATTTAAAAAAAAACAAATAATAATTAGCAAAAGTGGAGAAAATCTTAATCAAGTTAGAGGAATTCAAGAAAATGCATGAATGAGTGATTCATCAAATAAGAGTCTCGGCAGATTTAAGTAAAGAAAACATTTAAACAAAAATGTCACCTCCTAAAGCGTCCTCCACTTTCAACCTCATCATCACTGGAAAATTTGGCACCATTTTCGCCCAAAAGCGTCCTCCCGATCAGGATCCCAACTTTTCCACCTGTCGCAGCGAAAAACTTAATCCAAATGAGCCAGGGATCTTCCAATGCAATAAAAAAAAAAGAAAAAAAAAAGACATATAATTAAATAGCAATCAATAAAAGAAGCAAACAAATATAACTTGCAATTCAGAAGCAGTTTCAGTTGGTACCACTCTGATAAAAAAACTGATTGCATAGTACCTCTACTGCCTTCTTTCGAATCCAATGCGAGTTCTACCGGAGCCACCATCGTAGCCATCACGTGTCGATGAGCCACCACTCGCTCTCATTCCACCACTGCCAACTTTATCCTTAGCTTTCTTACCTTTCTTCACTAGTCAAGAACTGATCAAGTCCAAACGGATCGGCTTCTTCGACCTCTCTTTCTCTCTGACGGATAAGGAGCTGCAGAAGAAGGGGCAGCTCCAGTACTCTCAGACCGAGCCTTTTGAGCTAGCGCTCATAGCTCTGACTCCTTCTTCTCCATCTGCTTCATAAACATTTCTTTCTGAACCTTGGATCTCACTGCAACTGCTTCTCATGCTTTCTGTTCGGCAACATACAATGCTTCAGATAGCTATACGATGCTTCAGCTCCAGTCCTCCCATCAGGTGCAAGACACTTCTTTCGGATTCTTCCAATTTGAAATACAAGGAGGAATTTTCCAGTCCCGCTGATCCTTCACAGTGACAGGACGAGGGGAATGCATGACAGGCACCGAGTGGATAAACTGGCTCAATTTCAAATTCTAATGATTCTCTCTTTGGCGCCTGAATTAAACGCTGCTGATTGCTGAGATGACTTATACTTAATAAACTTCGAATCTGATGATTGTTTGGCTACTTTTTTAGGCTGAGCTGCACTTAATCTTAACATTCACTATCTTTTCAAGGACAGACTTCGTTTCCTAGGTTGTTTCTTCTATCCCTCTCTGCAATCCTTCATTTTCATCATTTTTCAAGATCTTTGGAATGAGGTCTTTATGTTATCGTTCGGTTTGACGATAGCATCATCTGCAACAATTCCATGATCATCCACAGTGACAGGAAGGATCTTTGATCCAGGCTTTTGATGATCTGTCTCTACCAATGTCAAGGGGGTATTGAGCAACGTGAATCTCTAGGAATGCACCATTTCCAAAATCCTCTACTTTCCGGGGAATAAATCCACTCCGCTTCAAGTAAGGCGGCACATGATTTGGCTTAACCACAGAAGTTTGCTCTTCTTCTGATTTACTAAACCGTTTCTTGAAATATGGATCATTTGTGTGATCGTAGTGTGTTACAGTTGTTGACTTTACAGAAGGAAGGTCTTTCAGAGGTGCCACAATCTTAGCTACCTAATACGACCTGCAGAGTCTGAAAATCAATTACTATGAAGTATTCTTATTTGTTGCAAGTGAGAAAACTAAAAGACAGCTTCATCTAAAATACCAATCCAATAATCAATTCAAAGAATCATTTGTTTCTAGCATGATATAAACATAGCCAGAGGTCAGAAGATTGATTCAATAAACAAAAATTACCAAAGAAGAGAGCAGTTATCAACAGATGTCTACCAAGTTGACTTACTTCCGTAGCATTTTAAAACTCCGACCTAACGTGACTGTATATGTGAGTGGTGACTACAAATTCGTCGACTCTTAAGAGAAGATTAAAACATGAACGTAACCAAACTATAACAAAACTTCACATGCGTCCACTACAAATTTCAGAGAATTGTTTGAATATTTAGTTACAGACTACAGTACCTTACTTCAAACCAATAAACTTGGAGATCAAATCTACGATCAAGATAACCAACAACTTAAGTAAACGCCAGAAATTATTGACAAGAACCTTCAACATTCAACTTAACGACTCCAAATTCATTGAGAAATTAATCTTAATTCTATCATATGACCAAATCTTCAGAATACTAGAATAAGAACATCAGCTTGGGCCAATCCAACTATTAATTCAATTGAAAACAAAGCTGGAAAAGTCATCTGCCTTTGATATTAACCTAGCCAGTAGTCCAGACGATTAATGCAATAAAAAAATTACAAAAGAAAAATAGAAAAGTTTTTCGACCAGGTGCCTATCAAATTGATCGACTTCCGTAGAACTCTAAAACTGGAAACCTGATGTAACTAAACATTCATAGATTCTAAGTTGAAAAAGAGATTTAAAAACTTGAAACCGAAGCTTACTATAACAAAATTTTACTTGCGTACGATATAACTTCCGAGAGTTCTTCGTCAAAGAATATTAAGTCACAATTTACAGTACTCTACTTCCGATTAAATAAACTTGGAAATCAGAAAAATAATCGAAAGAATTCATGACAAAGTAAAATAAAAAAACGTCAGAAATTATTAGCAATAATTTTGAATACTCAAATCAACGACTCCAAATACATAGAGAAATAATCCATGAAAAAACCACAGGAAATGAAAGCAGAGACAAGATCCAGTTCCACGCGCATACAAAGTATGAGTAGAAATTATTTATAGCATAAGGAATTACGATTGTCACCACCAGAGACAAGAACAGCACCAACAGTATTCAACTCAATGATTCCGTATTTACAGAGGAATCATTTTTACCAATTCTAAACAAGTTAGATCATCAGAGTACTAGAACAAGCTTTCCAGTTCCAGTAAAATATGAAGCAAGAGAGAAGAACTAACCTGTAGCATTCGAAATAGCGATTTTCACCCTCGGAGAGAAGAATGACACCATCAATATTCTACAAATAACAACAAATTCAAAGAGCAATCATTCTTAATCAGAAAGCAAACGAAACTTGTAGATAGATAAACCTCCGAAACAAAGCAGACGCTGAAATCGACTTCGTTACAGCAACTAGGAAATAGATACGGTAACGCGTAGATCGGCGATGGCCTCCGAGAAGAAGGACACATCTGCGTTATGGCTATGGCCTCGAATGAAGAGAATGAAGAGAAAGCGATTGATGATGCTAAGAATCAGAGAAAACGACGACGAGGATTTGGTTCGTGTTGGGCCAGTGTTGACGCTATATATACCGCAATTTCGCGCCCTTCGTGAATTCCCATTACTACCCTTTCCTTTACAAGATATTTCACTTTTATCCTCAACATTTTTTTTTCTAATTTCCATTTTTACCCTTTCACCACCAGGTTTCCTTTCCTTTTTCTTTTATAAATAAAAATAAAATTTTCGTTTGTACTTTTTTACCCGAAAAAAGCGTATAAAACAAAATATACTTTTTATTAATAAATTCGTCTTCGAAATTAGAAAAAAAAAATAATTATAATGAAATTAACTATACAAATCATCAAAATGAGAATAACTCGAAAAATAAAGCTAAATAATTATAATTATAATATACATACGTGAGAATATATATATATATATATATAAGTGAATAATTAATTTTCAAGCTCAAACTTTAAATTTTATTTTTTTTAATTTCACATTTTAGTTTTTTCTTCTTTTCACGATCAAACCCCTTCAATTTTAAATAGAAGGTAATAGATGCTAATATGCTCGGATAAATTTTTTTTTTTAAAATAAAATAATTTATATTTCAAACGAGGATGGAAGCGGGAAAGCAAAATTTCGTCCAAAAGCCCAATTACTATAATGACCTTTTTTTTTCTATCCCTTTTCAATCGGCGACTTGCAAACCCATATTTTTTTTTTTTATAATTGCTATTTTTACAATACAACTATTTAATTTTTTAAAAAAATAAATATATAAACACTATTTGTAGTTATAGATTTCTTTTGTTCATATACTTTTAAAAATCAAGTTATGTTTTAAAAACTAAAACAAGTTTTAAAATGGACTAATAATTTAAATATTGTGACAAAAATTTTAATAAAAAACTAAGATAAAAAAACTATTTACAATATTTTAAATCACATTAATATCAACTCTATATTTTTTTCCGTTTATTTTCAAAAATTAAAATTAAGAAAACCAAAATGTGATTATAAAAATGAATATTTGTTTGGAGAAATTGAATGGAAGAACAGATTTTGAATCCAAAGACCTTTTTACAAACCCTATAATCTCTTAATGGTTTTCTATCGTAGTGAATAAAATAATAATAAATTATTCTCTCTGTCTGTCGACACCCGCAAACCTTGAAAATTAGAAGAATAAAGGCTAAAAATAAATTTATGAAAGGTGGGGCCCGCCCACTTCCTGGGTAAATATATAGGACTTTTTAAAATTTTATAAATATAAAATAAAATTCTTAATATTATACTATTAATTTTTTTTTATTAACCTGTAACATTTAGTAGATATTAATCCATTAGTCATTTTTTAAAATTTACTTTATTCATGTATTTTCTGTCAATAAAACATTTAACCAACATTACTCATTCAATATTCTTGTGTAAATTTTTTCTCTATATTTGTGTTCATCTTGATCGAGTGTAAGTTATTGAGCAATCCTAATCGTCCAAACATAAAATTATTCCAAACAAAGAATGTTTAACTATGAAGTTCTCGATTGAGTCACCAAAAATAATTTTCAATTATTTTAAGTTCTTCTTAGTCATCATATACTCAAAATCGCTCTTATTCAAATATGGTACCGATTCGTTTATGTACTCATTCTTTACTCGAGTGTCACAATGAATACACAGTCAAAATAATATATATAGGTCCGAGATAATATATTTCATAAAAAACAAAAGGAATTAGAAGGAACGAACATAAAAGTACCATCGGGAAGGCAATCAAATATATGACATACAAAGAAAAACATGATTAAAGCTCCATAACTTTTGACTATGATCACTTAATGTGGTTTCCTTTTATATTTTCACCAATGTTGATTTATATTAACCCATCGTGGAAACTTTGTAACTTTTTTTTTATGATAATTAATATTCCTACCAATTTAGTTCTCAACAATTATTTTTAAAAAGTTAATGCAATAAATAATTTCATCCAACTATAAAAGCACTCAGTTTTTTTATTAAAATTATTTAAAAAAAAAAAAGACTAAGCAAATATAATGCTATAGACTTAATTATTGATTAATAGAAACTTAACTGTTGATTTGATCTTGAAAAGGCTTATTGCTTTGAATTAAGAGTCCAATTAATTCTTTTAATAATAAATTTACCCCACCAGCCATGAGAATCAATGGTCACAACAAATTTGTTAACAAAAACTTAATTATCTGGAATTTTAGTATTTCGATAGACATAAAAATTATAAAAATTATAATTTATGTTAGGAAAGACGATTCTCTACAATTGTGTGATATTGTACACTTTGAACGTAAGTTCTCATAGTTTTGCATTTGGGCTTCACAGAAGGCTTGATACCAATGGAGATAGTATTCCAAAAGGTGACCCGCTCTCAATAATTCTCAACAATTTATATGTATTAAATCAAATAATATTTAAATATTCTAAATTTGTTTATAAATTTATTGAACATAAAATAATTTTAAAAAAAAAACTTATTGTAATTTAACCCGAAGGAAACATGAAAACTCAACTAAAAAGAAGGTATTAATTCTGCCATTTATTTAAATTAAATGTCCAATTTAATAAGGTTTAAAGAATAAAAAAAAAAAATCATCTACCCTAACTAAAAATATTAATAAAAATAAATAAATATATACATTAATTTGTTTAACTTTAACGTAGGAAGCTATAAAGATTCAATTCGAGCATAATTTAATAAATATAAAATATATATTTTTCAATGAACCGATTCGAAATTAAGAAAATAATTTAATGTAAATAATTAGGGTAAAAGTAAACTTAGTACACACGTTAATTATGATACATTAATGTAAAAGTAAGAGCAAAGCTGGCAGTGGAGGAAGACAGCTATGTCGTCCGAGAGTTAGAATTGGATTTGGACGTCCATCTACACATGTACGAAATTTTCTTTTTCACACATTTTTCTTCTAATTATTATTATTACAAAATACACGACATAGCTTTCTCTCAACAGTCCTCCATTAATAATCTCTTCTCAATCACTATTCACAATAACCCTCATATCTCCCTTTTTCTTGAGTTTGACATTGAAAGAAATATATGTTTTTGTATCATATATAATTTCTTTTAATTTTTTAATAATTGCCCTTTCCAAACTTGTTTTTTTTATAAATTTAATCCTTATGATTAGAAATATTAAAAGCTGCATTTTATATGTAATTTCCTATATATTGATAAAAATTTTATAAATAATAAATTATAGTTTTTTTTTAACTATTAAAAAATTAAATTGATTTTTTTTTTTTTAAAAAAAAAGGAAGAATAAATTATTTTTGGTAATATGGAGTTAATATGAAATTAAAAAAAAAAAAACTAGTATAACAAGTTCGTCCGAGGATAAGAAATGTTAGAACTGTTGAATGATAAAAGTCTCACATCGATTAATTTAGGGAATGATCATAAATTTATTATCAAAGAATACTCCTCTCCATTTATATGAAACCTTATGGGGAAGCTCAAATCGATGTCATAAGAGCTTATACTCAAAGTGGACAATATCATGTCATTGTGAAGAGTCGTGATTTCTAACATGGTATCAAAGTCATGCCCTAAACTAAGCAATTGAATCCTCGAATATCGAACAATGAATTGTGAGCTTCAAAGGTGTAGTCAAAAGTGACTAAAGTGTTGAACAAATGGTGTACTTTGTTCGAATGCTCCAAAGAAAGGAGTTGAGACTCGATAAAGGGAGACTTATAGTGTACTTTGTTCGAGGGGAGGATTGTTGAAGATTATTGGAAGTGAAGAATACTGTCTCTATAGATATGAGATTTTTTGAGAAAACCCAAAGTAAAACCATATTTAGCATAAGACTTAAACTACCAAATGTCGAATTAAATTTTAAATTTAAGTCTAAATCCTAAACCCGAGTCGTAAGAAATTTAAATATTAAGTTAAATTTTCTTAATTATTTACCATTAAAAAAAAATTCTAGTTTTTTTTTTTTTTCCTTTTTAATTTATGGAAGGAGTAAATTCACAAAATTATTTAACATTTAAAAATAGAAATTATATGATAATCATGTTCTTTAATATAATTTAAAATATTTTTTAAAGTCTTCTAGAAAAAGTACATTTTTTAGATGGATATGAAAGGGAGGCAAAGCCCAAATTGATGGAGACCGGGCAACAACTATGTGAAGACAACAAAAACTCAATTTAATCTCAAATAATTAAGGCACTGTTTTGTTTTTCTTTTTTTGAGGGAAACGAGTGATGGTTTATTACACAACTGCCCTTATTCATGCATGAATGTAGATTTTTTCCTTTTCATAAATATGAATGCACGGCTTTGATCAGGGTCTTTTCTGTCTTTCATGAATTAATTAACTCATTAAAGAATTGTGTGATTAATGGTTTTAAAAAATAATTTAACTAATTTGAATAAGACATGGCCATGAAGACAAATGGATAATCATCAAAATTGAGACAAAAAGTTTAAGTCGTGTGTTAAATATGAGATCCGCACCTTTGAACTACTACTACTATTTATTATTATTATTATTATTGAAATTTATACTTTTAAACCCTAAAATTAGAGGAGATATTTATGTTAGGAATCGACTCTCCACAATAGCATGATATTGTCCACTTTGAGTATAAGCTCTCATGACTTTATTTTGGAATTTCTCAAAAGGCCTCGTACCAATGGAGATAGTATTCTTCACTTGTAAACTCATGATCTTCCACTAAATTCACTTTTCAACAATCCTCCTTTCGAACAAAGTACACTATAAGTCTCCTCTTATAGAGGCTCAACTCCTTTTTTTGGAGCCCTCAAACAAAGTACACAATTTATTCGACACTTTAGTCAATTTGACTACACCTCGAAGCTCACAATTCATTGTTCGATATTTGAGGATTTTATTGAAATTTGCTTAGTTTAGGACATGACTTTGATACCATGTTAGGAATCATGACTCTCTACAATGACATGATATTGTCCACTTTGAATATAAGCTCTCATGACTTTGGTTTGTGCTTC